TCCATCTCCATATTTTGCAAAAAAAGCTGTAGGGAACAGAAAGATGTCAGAAATTTCGACGATTCAAGCAACGATCAATAAGCAGTGGGTATGCTCATCAGAATTAAAAATTTAGAGAGGATATACTGAAACGTTACCCAAAAATTTTAAGGACAAGGAAGGAGCTATAATATGTGCAAAATAGGAAAAACAAAGGATTGAAGGCTTGAAAATTGTGATTTCCACATGAGAATAGAGTTTTGGGAAACAAATCTCGTCTAGTAAGAAATTGCTTTTTTAATTTTAAAAAAAAGGATAAGACAGTATCGTGATCCTTTGGATTTGGCACCTCAGAAGATTTGCACTTTAAATGCGACGCTTCACCGAGGTTTCGGATGGATAGGCCACTTCCATCGAATTAATGTATCTTACATATGAAATCAATAATCCATAGAAACTCATACTAAAACCCACCCCATCGGCATCTTCCACTTTTTGTTCAAAGCGTTGCTTCAGATGCCTAATACGTTTCCTGACAGGCATTTAGAATAGTCGTAGCAGCTTTGAGTAGATGAAATAGCCGCGTGGAATCTCTGACGATGATCAATACTATGCCGTTAAGTGCTGAGCGGGGTTCTCCCGCGTACTCCCCTTTGTGTGTGTGGTAAACAATCGAAACAGAGGTCATTAGGCATTCTCTTAGAATCAAAATCTGCAATCTTTAGTAAACAAACTGCAAACATCCACTTTCACCCTTCCACGATTAATGAGTAGTAAGTTGTAATACAGTAATCTAAAAATTTCATCTTTCATCAGTCATATACTCCATTACTACAACCTCTTCAGAACTGGATTGTAATGCATTCAAGGGTCCGATATGCGTGGAGTGACGATTGCAATTGATACTTATGTTATGTGACACAAATCTAGTCTACTATGCATCTCTCCTCAAAACTGCAAACGTATGTTGACGAAGGGTAATCCCGCGCCTAATTGTTGGTCCAATCAAAACAACACAACCATGGCGGAAATCATAAGGATAAAATTCTGTATGAGAACTACGGAAAAATATCAAAGACATGGAAAAATAACATACAACAGGATAAACTGTTCAGTCAATTTTTTTTTGATTTTGGAGTCCACCAGAAAAATAACTGATGCATCTAAACGAGCAATAATCCAAAAAGCGATGTTCTGCTGTCCCTCCTATGCTTGCATAAGAATGAGAGAAAGATAAGAGATTGCGAAGATTTCACGTGCACATGGTTTGGTCGCAGAACTACGCTAAACTTAGACAACGTAATTTGCAAACATTTGAGCGCAATTGTTATTTATTTCGCATTTTCACCAATTAAATGGCAGGTATTCAGATTTTATGTTTTCTAAATAGACTCAACAACGCATACCTATATATCCATTTATAGAGTGGAATTCGTATCCTTAGCCAGTAAAGCATAATTTTGTTTTCGGCCGTGCTACGTTTAAGACTTAGATTTGATAGGCGGTAAAATTAACAACAAGCACTAGTTTAAGCAGATACTTTCTGGGGAGAACGAAGAGACAATTAGCAATTGTGCCGCACAGTACTGCTCATCCGCTTGATAAGCTTTTTAAGCAGCCTCGAAATTTGAAATAAACACGGACGTCCAAAACTGCGCATACTGTACCCCAACACAGACAAAAATTGTTTATGGTATGGTGGCACGCATAGCACCGACCGTGAAAATATTTACTTACACAGGTGATTAAGCACAGTCAGCTGCTGCACTTGCTTAATCGCATATAAAGCTGTACAAAGTAAGAGGCTTAATTTATTCTGCTACCCATATATACAATCACGAGAATAATTAGAGTATGATCTATGCAAAGTAAGAATCACAAAAGATTCGCACAGAAAATGAAAAAGAGTAATCTCAAAGCAGTTTAGAGAAAAGGGTTAAGTATTAATAGACACCTTTGCATCACATTACAAAATAAAGTAATGAAAGCAACGTCCAACAGGAGTGTGTAGGTCAAAGGCTTACTTTTTCTTCGTTTTTTCATCACAACATTTGGAAACTCGACAAACAGCTGATAATACCCAAGATCAGTTCAGCATTGTATGATCCTCGAAGATGTTCCTTCTTTGCTCTTCTACCTTTTTCATCCACCGATTCTGCTCTGCTTCCACGCGGCCAAGAACATCTGCAGGGAAGATATTGGTACTCATCTAGAAAAAGAAAGAAGGAGAAATACAAGCACAAACTTGATTTGCTTCCTGCTCTTGCACGCATGTTTGTAGGAGCTGTTGATTCTGCTGAAGAACTTTCCGTTGCGCGTGCAAATATGTTGTCTTCCATCTAAACAAAAATTTTTATCCAAATGACTGTAACCAACGATTATTGCACCAAATGTATTCACCTCATCGGTTTGTTGACGATAGGAAGATTGAAACCTCTGCTTTCGTAACATAGGATCCAAACATAGAAGGAATGCCATATAGGTTACTAGCAGCATAATTACGCAAATTACGAATATGACAACGACCTAAATCATGCAAGATCAAAAAGAAATTGAAGCTCTTTCGAGAACAAGCATGAAAATAGACACTGCTATCTCTACTCTTTAAACGGAACAGGAGATGAGCTAATAGCCACCTTTAAGCTTGATTATAAAAGAAATAAGCTTTCAAAGCTAGAGTAAAGTTCAAAAGTGAATAGCTCTTTTGATTGACATTTTCTACCGATAGAATTGTACTTAAAGCACGTCAAGCATGGAACAAAAGCATTGGCTAGAATATAAACCTCCTATAGATAAAAATATGTTAAGAAGTACATGAATCTAAGTATTACTACCTTAAGCATCACAGTGTTCCTGCTCTCAAATCGACAATCGCAGTTCGCCAGAAACGCATCCATATGCGTTTCGTCAACATATTTAGTCACCTCACCCTTCACAACTGATTGCGGATTACTAAAATAAAGTCAGAAGTGCAAGCAGTTGAGATTCAGCAAAAAGAATTAGAAGAAAAGAGTATAAATGAAAAAAGGGATGAAAAGAAGAATGAAAATAAAGAAAACTAATTGAACTTACCAGAAGCTTGGACCAATATTTGTCATCGTATAATATCGCCGATGATTATCACTTTGCTCAGTAGCGTTATCACCAACAAAATACATGGTACTCGGACAGACACATCGACATCGAGTGTCTTCGAAATTTGCCTGGAATTGACAAAACACTACTTGTAAAAAGTTTCGTATCCAAAAGTGCAAAGGTACAAGAATCAAAACTTTCAATAAATGAACAAAACCTGCAGAAAGGAAAGGCTGTATTTCAAAACTCACTTCTGCCCCGACTTCACCAATCAGAAATATGGCCAAGGTGAAGAACACTGTCTTCCGCAGCATCTTGAGGGGCGAGCTGATATTCCCTGCAACATGTATAAATCAGAAAAGAAATAGAGTGATCAAAGCCATAAATCGTTAATAAGAACTGATTTCGAGAAGTGAAGCTACTGTTCTCAAAAAAAAGGTGCAAAGAGACCCTACAATACACATATTTTTGAGGAAATCAGCTCTATATGTCACATCCCTTCGATTACTGGAAAAGGGCTTAACAAAGACTTTGTCTTAAAGAAAACCACAAACGAAGAACGATCCTGAGCGACACAAAATGCAAAGCAGCTGTGTTCAGCTGTGTCTACCGTATTTCTTAACGTATCGAAAAATTCGGCTGAAGTTGCGTACTTTATTTTAAACCGCTCACGTAATCGCAAATTTTGTGATCTCTTTGTGTTCCCACATCTCTCTTTTCAACCTGCCAAGTGGTGTAAAGCTTTTTTTTCAGGTTTTTACAGGTTATGGGAAGCAACTTATCGTTGCCTAGTCCAAGCACTGCCGCCAAATACCTGCATTTCTATAGTGAACTCGAAAAAACTAGGGTGA